ACCATCTGTTCGAAACTTTGGCACAATTGCAGAATACCCCGCCACTCGATCTATCCACCTCGTAGCCGGCTACGAGGTCACGGCTGATTGACCTCAATAAACATTCTCAGCGCTACTTCTTTGTACTATGCGTCATGCTCCATTGCACTCCTAGTAGTCCTACTTCGTGACCGCGTAGCCGCCAACAACCGGAAGTGCTTTGTAATTTAAAATTGGTGAAAGACGCGAACTTGCTTTAAACGATGTTTGCTCTGGCTAAGTTGTTCTTTACCATAATATTATAGTAATAGATGAAACTTGATGTGACGTTATCATGACGTCATCACGTGACATGTGACGTCATAATTCAAAGCCCTATGCGAATGGAATCACATATTATATGCCACCATTCATTATAAACAGAACTACAAATCCTTCGTTGATGGAACACATGTCATATGTCACAAAAAGCTACCGAAACAGCCCTATGTTTGTCCACAAACATATGTCTAGTTCAGATTCCATTTGTTTGCAACTTGTTTGTTTTAAGTTGCCACATCTACAGTGCAGAACGTGGGCAGAGATTCGGAGGTGATTCACACTCACAATTGCAAATGTACAATTGAAACCCGGCCAGTGCTTTTAATAACTTTCTTTTTGAAATTGCAAGACCCTCCACATTTGCTGCTTTTGAGGAGAAACCTATGTTCACTTGTTTCGTAGTTACGTATCACACCACTCTTGTCTGACGTCCAAATTGCTTCATTTATTCAAAACTGAAAGACTGTTTGGCAAGTTTGAGATTTTGCCGTTGCATATTGCTTTTGTTTTGTTTTGGTTTTGCCAGAAGCAACTTCTTGACTCATGTTTTTCCATGTACTATATCGGGCTCATAATTAATATAACACTACATGTATTGTTCAGGGATCGACATGACATCGAATACAGAATTGAAATGTAAAATCAAACTTTAAACCTGATTCCAGAAATTTTAATGTATCTTTTATCATTTATTGACCATTCATCTAGTGTTTTTACTCTCCACGCAGTCCATGGCTCCTCCTTCTACAGCAAATACAATTAGGGCGCGGTGCTGTCAAAACTGTTTCGTATTGTTTAATCTGCAATTACCTGAATTCTTTGTAATTTCAAACTGTGTTCCCAAAGAGTGTATTTCCTGCTAATCAGTTTAACACAGCATATGCAGAAATACAAAAATGACCTGTCAAAATTCAAAAGAGGTGATTGCTCAGAGACACACAGCATTATTCCATACCATTCAAAGGGGCCGTTTTCATTAGAATATGATTTTTAAAAAAAAATGTAAAAAAATACATAAACAAATTCCTTAAATTCCCCATGAAACCATGCAGTTGCTTTTGACTTTTATTCAATTCACTGTTTGCAGAGCTCTGATGAGACTGACCATCTGGCAAGTGGCTGTATATGATGAACTCACTTGGATTACAGCTCATGGAAAAAATACACTTTGTAGTTTTGAGTATTGTGTAGAATTTGGATGTCTCGTCATCATTCAGATTGTTTGCAACTTTATGTTGCTACTTCTACGGCATTAACCGATGTGGATGGAGATTTAGAGGTGATTCACACTCACAATTGCAAATGTACAATTTTATTATTATAATTCCACACCATTCAAAGGGGCCGCTTCCATTAGAATATGATTTTTATAAAAAAAATCCTTAACAAATTCATTTAACTTTTCCCTCACGTTTCCACACGTTTTTGTTTTGGAAATGGACTCGATTCGAGTTGAACATAGTCCGAATCAGTCACTAGCCGAGTCTGACTCAAACCGAGTCCAATAGGCAACGAGTGTGATGCCAGTCACGAGTCAAACAAAAAATAAACAAATAAACGGACTCGAGTCATCCAAAATATACCCGCCTGAATCACCTGGGGGGGGGGGTTTGATAATTCAAATTACGTTTGCTGAATAATTACTCCTAAACCTATTATTGGACAACTTTTCCCCATTTTCAATTGAAAAAATTTGTACTGCCAAAAATAGTACACAAAATAAATTCAATTAGATAAAAAAAACGCTTCTTTGCCATTTAAAAACTCCCCGATCAAATTCAAATACAGTGTCAATAACAGGACTATTTAATTAGGAATCGAAATGTTAAGTGTCATTACAAAATGTCCAAACATTTAGAGTGTTGTCTGCTAAATGAGTAACGCCTACCTCCTGTAAGTCATTTAAAAAGTTGAACAAAACATACAGTTAGCACATCATTGATTAGTGTAAAGAAATCCCCGCTTTAAAATAAACAAGTTTGTTGATTGCTCTAAAATTATCTTGTGGAAGTGGAAACATTGGCCGAAATATACAGACAAACAAGTATAGTGTACTGCATTGTAGACGAGTGTACGGTACTCGAGTGCGCGGTCGATCTTTTGGACTTCGTTCAATTGGCACTCGTCAAGGGCATTTATCATCCCATGTCAGGCTTGTGTGCCCCTTTAAGTTTGCGCAACCTTAAGTCAGCCACAATCACGTACTGTTATCGTGAAGCCCTGAGAATCGGCCTTTCACATGCAGTAGTTAAATACACGACTCCATATAGTACAAGCCTGCATACACATGATGCAGTAGATGTGTTTAAAACACTGTCTTTGAGCTCAACCTTGTTCTAAAGTACACAGGACAGTTAAAACATTCCTATTGGCCAATAACCGGTCACGTGGTATGAATTTAAGTGAAAACTAAAATCAGATAAGTTATTTACGTTTATTTTAGTATTCACTATTTACAAACTTAATTGCATGTAATCTATACGAACCAAAATCTACTGAAAACGTATCGTTGATGTCGAAAAAAATACAATAATACTTAATTGTAGTTTTGGTTATAAAGACAAAACATTTCCCTAACTTCTGTTCATGGTAACTCGAGTGTTGGCAATAATGCAAATAACAAACAAGAGCTGTCACTTCCCTAAGACGGTGTTGTTACTGCAGGAGTTCGTCTATAAGATTATCATGAGTTGTAATAATCACATAATTTGTTTCAATGGAATGTTTTTAATCCGGTTTCTTCTTGAAATTAAACTTCTGAATATAAGCCAACCCAATAAGTTGAAGCCGCTGAAATAAACTAATAGCACTCAGTTTTTAAATGAGCTTAGTCAAATCAACAGAAAATGGTCACATTTTCGATAATTTTTTTATATTTACAGACTGGTTACAGAAATTAAAACAAGCTTTATGCTTAAGCTTTCAATTTGACTCCACCGGCATATTTAAACAGTACATTTTTAAATCATCTCAATACTTTTGAGAAATTGTGTCAAATTTGCTTGGCCAGTTCAAATAAATGTATAGTTTGATAATTTATATGAACATTTACCAACACTGTTTTACTTTTCAATTGAAAGCTTAATCTTGTCATAAAATCTCACAGTAGATTCCTTATTATTTTGGCCAAGAACCTATCACGTGGGTTGAATTAACCTTGGAAAATATCAGGCCATCTCATTTTCAGTATTTACAAACTGAATCGCATGTAATCTAAAATTTACTCAAAACATATTATAATATCGTAGATGTTGAGAAGATACGTATATACATAATTGAACTGTCGGTTACTACATCCAACAATTCTCGTGACTTCTTTACATGATAAATTTAAGGTTATGCTGGTTTTAATGAAAGTAACACTATTAATATCATGAGTTGTAATAATCACTGCATTTGATTCAAAAGATTTGTTTTCAATTTTCTTCATGAATTTAAACTTCTTAACATAATTTAATCCATTTATTGAGGCAACTGAAATCAACTAATAGGCCTACAACTCGGTTTTTAAATGAGCGAAATCGAACAACATAGAATGATCAAATTTCCTAAAACGTTGTACTTACATGCAGATTGAATATATATTCATAAATACCTAAGACAGTTTACGCATTCCTATTGGTCGAGAGCCCGTCACGTGGCCGGTCTTAAACGGATGATAAAGACATGGCTAGCTGGTCTAAAACACTTTTCCAGTGTCACAATAAAATGTGGACTCCTAAAAATCCAGTGCCTCTTATCGTTTCATTGGTTGAACGTTCACAATCCTCACGTAGACATGCGCAACACTACCAGGGAGTCAGAATTTTAAAGTTCTAAATTCAAAACGCAACGCGCCAGGTGCGTTCTGCGCGACATCGCACAGAACATGATACGCGCGCGTCAATCCCCATAAAAGGGTTGTTTACATCGCCAGCTGAACACTCCATTATTTTGCAAGAGGGATGTTTCAAAAAGCATAAAGTGAATTTGTTGAACAAAATTGAGATGTTTTGAACGAATTATATTATTTTTTCTTACCGAAAAGGTATTTATGAATGGGAATAAATATGTGCTCCGTCGGTATTTATCACTCTGTTTAAGACCACTTAGAGTCTGGCTGCTGATAATTACCCTCGCCTCCGGCTCGGGTAATTATCAGCACCCAGACTCTAAGTGGTCTTAAACAGAGTGATAAAAACCTCCGAAGCACACATTTATTCCCTTATTAAAATATGTCTTTAACAGAACGATTAAACTTAGCTTTAAATTTGACTCTACACGTGCCGCAATTTCTTACCAAAGGCTTTTATCTAAAAAAAAATCAAGGAATTCGTGCAAAAAATCCCGATTTTGATCAACAAGTTCACTCCAGCTTTTTGAAACATCCCTCTAGCAAATTAATGGAGTGTTCAGCTGGCGAGTAAGATGTAAACAACCCTTTTATGGAGATTGACGCGCGCGTAGCACGTTCTGCGCGATGTCGCGCAGAACGCACGCACCTGGGCCGTTGCGTTTAAATTTAGAACTATAAAATTCTGACTCACTGGTAGTGTTGCGCATGCCTACGTGAGGAATGTGAACGTTCAACCAATGAAACGGTAAGAGGCACTGGATTTTTAGAAGTCCACATTTTATGTGACACTGGAAAAGTGTTTAAGACCAGCTAGCTATGTCTTTATCATCCGTTTAAGACCGGCCACGTGACAGGCTCTCGACCAATAGGAATGGCTAAACTGTATGAGGTATTTATGAATTGAGGTTCAAGTTATTCATCCTTGTAGTACTTGATCTTAGAATGAATTTTTATATACATGAATTATGTAGGCATGGAACACTCAACTGTTAAAAATAGTCCCTTAACTGATTTTGACTGAAAGGACAACTTTGCACAGAATGTATGTTTGCATATGAGGGAAAATGACCAGCTAAAATTCTAACGAGTAGATCGTTCAAAGAAACACCTAAGCATTATTCCATACCATTTAAAGGGTCCATTTTATAGAATTGCTGGGATGCAATCGTCCCACTTGGTATAAATTTGTTGTCAGAACCGTTTGCCATTGGAAATGTGAATCGTATACATGTAGTTATACGATGTCATTTTTTTGGCCATAATGTATTTTTTTTTCGGGGGGGGGGGTTCTTTCTGCGTCGATAGTGACAGTTACAAGAGTTATTTTGAGCTTTCATTCCGGGTATTTTTTGTGTTTGGTGTTTCTTTTCTTCCAATTACTGAACCCTCAGATGTCAGGAACAGCATATTGCTTGTATAGAAACCGATTGAATGACAAAGATGACTCATTATAATTCGAAATGGCTATTTATAAAAGAAAAAAAAAAGTTTAAAAAAAAGTTAGGACATTAACTCTTTGAAATATCCAATTTACTGGAAATATAAACTGCTTACAGTGGTAAAAATAGTACATGTATCCTCGGTGTCGTATTGAATAGTGTTTTAAGAAATTCATCATTTCTCTTGTTCAAGTGATCATTCTGTTAAAGTAAGGTTTAAACCAAAGACCCACACTGACAGCTCCAAATATACATGTATATACTTGATTAGAAATGACTGATAACTATATGTCGTATCACACCTGGTGATAAACCTTCACTGAGTAGTAGTCAGCCACTGCCAGCTGCCCATCGGATGTGAATGTTATTCCCATGGGGTAGGGCATACCCTTTGTGATGCATGTGAGAAAGCCACCTTGAGAGTCATAGTGATGGATATGACCTGTGTAACAAGCACTACGTATTGCAACATAGATACCTGAGCTATCAGTCCATACACCACAGCAGTGTTCCGCTGGTTCACCTTTGATGGTTGGTTTGATGATACGTTTTGTAGTACCATTGCCATCAACAATACCCACTGTGTCTGACTTCCATTCATTATCACTTATTATCGCTCGATCATTGCTGTCAAAAGCCAGAAAATAAGGTTTAATCTTGACTGGTATGGTATGAAGGAGCTCACCATCAGTGGGGCTGTGCACTGTCAATACCATCCTCGCCACATCTCCCACTGCAATGGTACCATCATTCTTGACAGCTACGCCCTGGAGGTTAATCGCGGTCTTACCGACCTCACTCCGTGGCACCGTTGGGAACTTGTATGCCAGCGTGTTGTCGCTGTTGAACACCTTCACATGGGATGCGCTTTCCTCAACAACCACCAAACGATTGTCAGTTGGTGTAGCTGCGATACCGCATGGATCTGTAGGAGTCACGATATAAAAACAAACAGTCATAATAATCAATGGTTTATTTGGATTTCAGTTGTCTAAAACCTCCAACAATGAAATATTTAATATAGTGTTAATAAGCAAAGGTGTCCGCCAAAGAATATTTTCGAGGTTGGATGTACTATGCTTGGGAAATCATCACGTGTTAACGTATCCTTTAAATTTTGAGGTTTTAAGCTTGTCTATATATCTATGCCCAGATAATGTGGCAGAAACTGTTTTTCATTAATGTATCTTTTAGTGTGAATAATGGGAAATATAAAAGACTTTGACTACCATACAGAAATCAAACGAAAATGCGTCGGGAAGAGCAAAGGCCAAAAAAACCATAATAATAAAAATTAAGCTTGTATTTGTTCATTTCATGGACAAAAAAAAAGGAAATTGGATTTTTCAACATGGATGATGCATTTATATTAAAAACATCTCCATGTTATGAAAAACAAGGTATTCATGAAAATGTCATGCATTACATTTACTGCGATACCGTTTCATGAGATCTTGTGAGGAAAAAATATAGTAACCTAATAATGATGGGCAAAGAAGAATTGTTAGTGTGCATAATTCGGGAGATGCACTGTAATTTAAACTTACATCCTTGCATTGGAATCGTGCTTTTTTTGTTGCCATCGATGCTGCAGATCACAACTCGACTGTTGAAGCGGTCACCCACTGCAATCTCATCAGGTTGACGAGCAGCAACGTCCCAAGCCCCTCTGAACTCTCCTGGATCGCTTCCCGCTGTATCAAACTCTCGATACAGCTCCCATTTACCTTCCGTTACCACCTCACCCAGACTGATGCCACCAACACCCTCAGTCTGCTTGAACTTCAGGAATGCGAGCCTGTTGTCAACTCTAGGTATACTCTGATCTGCCAACAATTTCAAGTCTTTGCTGATTGTGGGATAGAGTGAGAGAAAGTCACTATCCGATGCAGTCATTGTCACTTCTCTAGCTGTGTCTAGTGAATGCTCGAATCTTTCCAATGCCAAGCACATAGTTTTCTCACATTCTTCCAGTTTTTGTTCGCGATCTGTTTGGATGTTTTTGATGTCGTCAACGATGCGATTTTCCTTAGCCGTTACCTCTGCTCGTATATCAGCTGCTCTGTCTTGCACTTCTGTCATGACCCTCTTAACTGTGACACCCAAATTTTCCTTCATTCTGAAGACTTCCTCCCGTGATTTCTGGATATGCAACATTGTGTTTTCAAGTGGAGTAAACAGTTCAGCCAATGACTGCTTGAAAACCGATGTGGCTTCATCTCTCTCAATATATGTGTGTTCTGGCATGCGGTGGTTTATGACGGTACAATCTCGGCAGATCAACAACTCACATGACGTACAAAAGAACCGTGCCACTTCCCCCTCATGGATCAGACATTTCGGATGTTGTTTCGGATGTTCCTTTGTGACTGTAACCTTTCCCTCATGAATGTCCTCCAATGGAGCTACCTTGTGGTTTGATGTGGCTGCGAATCGAAGATGCATTCTGCTGCAGACTGAGCACATATACTGGCCACAATCCAGACATCGCTGCGTTGCCTCGTTGTCTTCCTCACATACATCACACAAAAGACAGGTATCACCCGATCCCACTATCTTTTTCTGAAGTTCAAGCTCCTCAACCAGACCAATCAAATGAAAGTTTGTTTTCAGACCCTGCACCCCCACCTTGGAAAGTTTCGTCTCTTGCCGACACACAGGGCAAGGAATTTCTGCAGCGTTATGATGCTTTGTGCAGTACTTCAGCAGACAATGCTCACAAAAGCTATGCAGGCATTCCAGTATCTTGGGCTGTTGGTATCTCTCTTGGCAGATGCAGCACTCAAGATGATGTCTGCCGATCGTCTCCAGAGCTGAACTTACTGCAGGTCCAGTTGCCATTTTTGTCTAACAAATGTGAGGAGACATATTTTAGTAAGAAAAACAAGAGTGATAAAAATGTAGCATAAGTTTATCATTCGCATGTCTTCTTACATGGGTAGGGACCAATAGTAATTGGCAGGATGTGCTTTGTATTTAAAACGAATCGCCAGGTACAGGGCTCTCAAGATGTGAATTAAAAAGTCCAAAACACACCCATTATCCATAACTGCACATCCTCTTAAAAATATCACAACTTTTATTTTATCTGTGATGCTTCCTTGGCATTTTTAGATGTGGCTTCATGCGGGAAGGTAGAGAAATCTGGAATGGACTTTAATCATCTAATGTTGAAATTCATCATTCTTGTCCAGTTTTTGAATGCAATCTATCAATTTACTTGTGATAAGTTAGAGTTGTAAGATGCTCCATAGTTGTCCTATAAAAATATGTCTCAAATACTGGCCTTCCTTGGTATTGAGAGCACAAAGCATTATGGCCTTATGTACATGCTACATTTCCCTATGGAAGCTGCTTGGTTATTAACCAGAAGAAAAAAAAGCGAATCTCGTACATCATGCACTTTACAGGGGACATTTTGAATGTTGACGACACTTTAAAAACACACACACACACACCCAGACTTGTTTCACATACCTAGTGTGGACTTTCCTTTCTTTTCGTGTAGTTAAGGAACACCAGTGGAAAAACTCATTTTTCTCAAACTGTGAAAACTCTTACAACCCAATTTTTTTTCAATGATTCCCTTTAGTGTTTCTCTTCATTCTGCTACAGATAAACCTAACCCAAAAATGCCTCTAAACCTGTTTTCCGGAAATGGGGAAACACTGTGTGGACGTGGGCAAGTCCACACTTCGTCGCTGCTACCTACATTATGTGGACGTCTTTTGTTCGGAAGTCCACACTGCGTATGTAAGACAAGCTCACACCCACACACCCAACCCCACACACACACACAACAATTATCATTTTTGCAGTGTAAAATGTTATTATTTCAGAACAAGTTAAAGAAAGCACTTTTGTTGTTCATCATGGAAAGTGAAAATCACACGTCATACGGGGTAACATGTCATGGTTTTTCTTTATGTTTACGTTCTTCTACAAGCTGTCATTTGTTTCCATAAAAGGAAGTGGATTTAAAAGTTATTTTGGAAGAGGATTTCCTAAAGTATCTGATACTAATTTATTAATTTCCTCTCACCGTGGCTGCACCGGCTTTCTTTTAGCGTACGCTAGTTTGCCAGAGGAATCTGAGACGACCTCTGCTAAATTAACGTATTACTAAAAGAAAACGGTGAAGGCCAAATATTCACCGCCTTCTAAAAAGGATAAAGCGATAGCCACATAAGAAACATTTGTACATGAACGCAGACACTTCAACAAAATGTGTCATATAATACCGTCAATCAAAATATGGATATAATGTAGTCATGGTAGTTTAGGACACCTTTTTTTTGTTTACAAACACATGACAGATTATGTTAATAAATCACAACCCTTCCCTCTTTCAACAACATTAAGCTAGCTAGTAATATTCAACATGGTATCTTAGCGAACTATTTAGATGATTCCAAACACATACATGTAAAGTGACCTTTCCTGCTTGTATCATAGCCAAATGTTTAGGTTTTAATTAATAATTAAGTCCCCAAAAAAGTGTATTTTCTTTCTCTTATATTGAACGGGCCGGTGCTCCACTTCACGATTAGTTTTGCTTGCACCGGTACTTTGCATCGGGTACTGCCATTACTGACACAGCAAGTAAGCCTGATATGACTACAGTATAACATCATACACAGTATTGAAAGAGACCCAAATTTGCGAACTAAACAATAACATGCCTAACGAACGTTATAATTCCACACGTCGCACACACCCACAAAATTAAGATCATCGTTTCACAACAAAATGCTTCTCCAGGGTTAGCCCCACTAGTGTGGCCGCAGTCATGGCAGTATGCTGCGCTGAACCTCTGGCCACACACCGTGGTACCGCGCACTACTGAGGACGTTTTTTCATAAAAAATACAGGCAGTTTCTTACATAGGCCTTATGGTTGTATTCTATGATGTCCCATCTATCACTTCTGGGATGCTTAGGTGTAATGATGTTCAATTTTCCGAGATATTCTTGAATCTTTCTGGAGCCCATATGCACTCGTGAAACGTCTGGTGATGGCAGCCATTTTGAATGTGACAAGAGATGACCTCAAGCTGTGACGTCGCGTTTATGCAAATTGCTTGTCGAGTGAGGGCGCGAGTTGCAAATGCGACGGCTGTTTCCTGTGCCGTGGATCCTGAATAGAGATCAGTGCACGTGGCCCCCAGACGATAAATGCATGGTACAGGAAACAGCCGTTGCATTTGCAACTCGCGCCCTCGCTCGACAAGCAATTTGCATTAATGCGACGTCACAGCTTGAGGTCATCTCTTGCATGTCACATTCAAAATGGCTGCCATCACCAGACGTTTCATGATGCATGAGTGCATATGGGCTCCAGAAAGATTCAAGAATATCTCGGAAAATTGAACATCATTACACCTAAGCATCCCAGAAGTGATAGATGAGACATCATAGAATACAATCATATGTAAGAAACTGCCTGTAATTTTTATGAAAATGTCCTCAGTAGTGCGCGGTACCACGGTGTGTGGCCAGAGGTTCAGCGCAGCATACCGCGGCCACATTAGTGGGGCTACTCCAGGATTAGCCCCATAAATGTGGCCAATGTACTGGACTAGGCCTACCTCCGTGTATAGGCCACACTTCCGCCCTGTACAAAAACATGTCAAACTTTGTCAAATTTTGATTTTCACTTTCAGGCTTAGTTTATCGATATAGTTATGTTTGCTTTAAAAGCTAAGGCTAATCTGAAAGTGCTGCCTTTTCAGATGTCTATTTTTCGTGAAATTTCCAGATTCGTTGCGTATCAAAAAATTAAGGTAGTGGATATTTTGCCAGAGGTAATGACGGCAAACTAACGTTTACTAAAGGTTTGGCGGCGGCAATCCATATCAACAGAGGGCGCTATACACTTTAAGATAGGGCTGAATTATAACATGTATTCAATTCCCATCAAGGTTGTGTGGCACGTTTGGTGTAGTGGTTAAGCAATAGCTTTAGTGAGCGGGATGGCTCGGGTTCGATCCCGATCCCTGCCACATTTTAAATGTTTTTTTTCCCATCCCCAAATAAATAAGAATATTCTTCTTTGATAGTGGATATTTTGCCGGAGGTGATGACGGCAAACTAACGTTTACTAAAGTTTTGCCGGCGACAATCCATATCAACAGAGGGCGCTGTACTCTTTAAGATAGGGCAGAATTATAAGATGTATTAAATTCCCAACAAAAGTTGTGAAGCACGGTTGGTGTACTGGTTAAGCGAAAGCTCTCGTGAGTGGGATGACTCGAGTTCGAATCCGATCGCCGCCACATTTTTTTTTCCCATCCCAAAAAAATAAGAATATTCTTATATTATTTTAATATGTCTCAAACATTTTATTGCAGAGTATTACATTTTCTTTTTCAGATTTGTGGCTCTGGAGGATTTTTTTTAAAAGGGAAATAAAGTCCGAAATTATAAAATCAAAATGTGACAAAGTTCGACATGTTTTTGTACATCACTACACATAGGTTGTCGTTGTTGTGCTCACGTTCAAAACTGCATGATAATGGCGTCTGACCTCGACCTCATGCAAATGTGGTGCGGTGCGCTTGCGCATAATGCACTGCATGCATACACGGCAGATTCCCCTGCGCCGCGCCGACGACTGTTTCCTGATGTAGAGCGCTGTGTAAGTTCGCGGTACGCCTGGGAGTCGCGCTGGCTAGCCAGGCGTACCGCGAACTTACACAGCGCTCTACATCAGGAAACAGTCGTCGGCGCGGCGCAGGGGAATCTGCCGTGTATGCTGCATTATGTGCATTATGCGCAAGCGCGCCGCACCACATTTGCATGAGGTCGAGGTCAGACGCCATTATCATGCAGTTTTGAACATGAGCACAACAACGACAACCTAGGCAGAGGGGGTCTCCAGAATTGAACGGAAAATTTCACTTTTTTTCCGGATCGTAAGTAAACTTAAGTACAACCATCTTAATCATCTATGTCTACTTGTACCTCAGGTGACATATCTAGTAATTTGGAGGCCGTTTTGAAGGTGAAATCTGATGTTTTTTGTTGGAAAATGTTGGTTTTTGGGACTGTCAGTGACTGTGTTGTCTAGGTCGAGGAATGGGCTTGGACCCTACTATCGCCAGACCATGTCCAAATTTTTAAAAAGGCGATAAGTTGGGTCCAAGTTACTCAGACTAGCATGGAGCCAGACTAAAATTTGTCACCGGAAAATGTTTAAGTACAAAAAAACAGTAACTGCGCATGTTCAGTGCATATCCGGCAAACGAACGTTTACTAAAGGTTTGCCGTCTCCGGCAAAATATCCACTGCCAAAAATTAAACATAAAATTTCACGAAAATTAGACATCTGAAAAAGACAATGAAAGACAGCACGTTCTGATTAGCCCATGAAGAGGGTGAGTATGCTTCTAAAGCAAAAATAAACTACAAACTAAGCCTAAATTTTAAAATCAAAATGTGACAAAGTTCGACATGTTTTTGTACATCACTACACATGACATGCTACATCATACACATGATACATGGTGGAAGTGTGGCCTTTATTTACGGAGGCAGTCCAGTAAATATTGGCCACATTTATGGCCTTTATGGGGCTACTCCAGGATTCACGGTTGTCAGATATATTTTGCTCACATTTATCCCACGTTTCTGGTTTGAATGGAGAAATCTTTATGTTTCTGTCGAGTCAAACGAAGAGAATCTTTCGGTTGTTTTCCTCGATCGACGCAATGAACCCGGAAGTACACTCAACGTAAACTGTAACATGAAGAGCGCCTCCAAGAGACAGCACGCTAATTTAATCGGTGCTTCTAGTTCTATCTGACCTTAGATAGATTGTGTTCTTGACCACCTGTTCGAACTTTTTTTGTTACTTTGAATCGTGCCAAAAAAAAATTATTCTCAAATTAATTTTAAAATTTAACGTCATCAGGCGTCATCAGGTTCAGTCGACAGTGCGTTCGAATGTCTCTTCCAGTGGTCTCCTCAACTCTCTCTTTGTTACCGTCGAGGGGCCTTCACACATTTTCTTTTCTTTCCGGCACTTCTCCTTCCCATCTCATTCCACAAAACTGCATTAAATAAACTGTTTTAACTTTTGTTTTAATATTGTATTAGTGTTTGCCTTTTTTCATTTTTGTTTATTACTATGTTTTAATATCTATTTTCCCCTTGCTTATTTTTCATTGATTTTTTTTTTCGGGGGGGGGGGGGGGAGGGCGTGGGGATGGATGGGCTCGGTTGGGGGTAGGGAGGTTTCAAAAGTAGCTCCAGCCTTTAAATAATTTAAAATGAACCTTACAAGGAATGTATATCATTTATGTAGACGGACATTTTCAATTTTTTTCTTCACGTTTCTTAAAAACCCAGGCTCATGCGCTAATATTATCCGAGCTGCTGTTACTGTTGAGTTTTTATTTATTTTTTTGTTAAATTCTAAACTGCTTCAATTGCGGCATCTCGTCCAACGGTCGGAAGATATGCATTCAAATGTGCATTCCAATGTTTTTTTTTTATTGTTTTGTTTTACCTCAAGCCTTTCTTTATGCATCCATTTCCGATATTCAAAAGACGGCTGGAAACCTTTCCTCATTAAACCCACTGGTATTTACTCCGGAGCCTTAAATTGACATTTATACAAATCACTGTTTGCAGACATGAGCTGCGAAGTACGTGACTGTAAAATTACTGGACTAAAGCCCATGGACAAAATTGGATTGGTCAGTTTAGATCATTATTGTGGAGGATTGAGACGTCTCATCATCTAAAATGTTTACAACTTGTTTGTTTCCTCTTCTTTAGGCATTAACCCATGTAGATGGGGATTTAGAGGTGATTCACACTCGCAATTATAAACGTACAATAGTTAAACCCGGCCAGTGTGTTTGATAATTTTCCTTCCAAAATTGGAAGAAAAGACACCCAACCTGTTGCTTTTGTGGAAAATACCCTGAAACTGACCTCTGTTCATGTTTCTTGATTGTGAGTGTATCACACCAATCTTCAGTGCTTCGATTAAAAACTCAAAGACTCTATCCGAATTGGCAGGTTTGAGATTTTGCCAATAATTTGTTTCTGTTTTGGTTTTGGTTTTGCCAATAATACATTATTGACTCATGATTTTCTCTACTAAGTTCTGTCGTTACAGATGTAAACTGCAAGCCCAAATTCCCTCCATTATGCGTCTACAACTAACTTTGAGAGATTGACACGACATTGAATACATAATAAAAATGTACATTCAATTTTCTTAATCTTCAATTTCAGAAAGGGAAATGTAAATGTAATTTTTTTTATCACTTGTTTACTATTCTGTTCCTGTTTTTTTGTTATCACTTGTTTACTATTCTGTTCCTGTTTTTTTTTTTTTTACTCTCCTTTGCTCCCTTCTTTTGTTCGATTAATAAACGTAGTGCTGTCATGAATAAGTGTTTTTATTGTGTATAATGTTCAATTCCATTACGTTTTTGTAATTCCACCCTTTATTTCCAATGTTTGTATTAACTGCTCATCACTTAAAAACAGAAAATAAAAAAAATCTACCGAAATTCTATAAAGGTGATATTTCAGAAAAACACTTCAGCATTTTCCCATACCATTTAAAGGGTTCGTATTCATATAATTGCAGGATTGCAATTGTTGTATGAGCAGTTTTTGTCTATGCAAAATTATACGATCATAGGAAAAGTGGGTTATTTTTTGGGGGGTAATAATTGATTTGTAAATACTGCGTCAATACTGGCAGTCACCGGAATTATTTTGAGCTTTTGTTCAGATGTATTTTTCTACGGTGTTTCCTTTCCCAACTGACCCCTAATTTTCAGGAACTGCATATGTTTCTTGAGAACTAAATTGCACTAAAAACGGTAAAACATAATAATTAGAAATGGATATTTGAAAAAAATTGGAGGTCATATAACCTCTCTAAAATATCAAATTTACTGAAAATGTAAACTGCTTGAAGTAAAAAAAAAAAAAAAGGTGCATGTATTCTCGGTGCCGTACTGAAAGGTGTTTTCAAAGAGTCGTCCGGGGTGATTCAAAATCAAGTTTGTAATATCACTCCTAAACTTAATACAGTACATTTTTTTCCTTCGATTTCTCAATTAATTGAATACATTTGTATTTCGAAAAAGGAAAAAAAAACACATAAACAAATCAGATATAAACCGCGTGATTACTTTGCTTTTAACTTGCATGGGTTATATTTATTTAGCATTATGGGGCAAATTTTCTGGCTAAGTTACGAAATTCCTACTTTGTGTAATCAAATACAGTGTCGATAAAGGGACTATTTAATTAGGAATTTAAAGGATGAATGTCATTGACAAAACTCCAAACAATTGGATGGTTGTTGGCGTAATGAGCTAAACCTGCCCCATGTAAGTCACTTACTTTTAACAAAGCTTCATATGTAAGCATTTGAATAGTAAAGAAATCCTCGCTTTATTGCAATAAAAACAAGATTGTTTTCTTTGTCTAAAATTATTCCATGAAAATTGAAAACATTAAGCCAAAATATACAGATAGGCCTAGACAAGTATATCATGAGACGAGTGTAAGGCGGTGAATGCGCGGTCGATCTATTTGAACTTCGTTCAATATTGGCACTCAAGGAGATTTAGTATGGTCCCGTGTCAGGCTGACCCTTTCTGTCTGCGCAACCTGAATTCAACTACAAACACGTACTGTTATCGTGAAACCCCGTGTATCGGCCTTTCACATGCAGTAGTTAAATACACGACTCCAAAAGCCTGTATACAAATGATGCGCCACAGTTTACTAAACTAGATGTAGCATTAAAATAACCGATCACTTGGCTTGAATTTAACCCTTTAAACAAATATTAGGTTATCTTACGTTTATTTCAGTGTTCTCCATTTACAAACTTAACTTAGAAAATTACACATGTATAATTAGACGTTTGTTTAAAAGATGAAACAATTGTCGTAACTTCTGTTCATGATGCATAAAGGACTGATAATAAAGGACTGCACAAAGGAGTGATAATGATATTACAATAATCTTCAGTTGTCAGATCCAGTGTATTGTTTGTTGAAAAATAAAATACATCTAACGTACCAGAACAATTGATATACAAACAAATCGTAATAATGGTATCCCAAACTTTCTCTCGAATAACGATTTCAGTTATTCATCTCTATAGTACTTGATCTTAGGATGACTTTTTATATACATGAATTAACAATCTTATTTGCTTCAACCACGCTTACGGTTAGGGTTTTCCCTTCAATTTCATTCTTAAACATTTTTTTTTACAAACTGTTACCGCATTTGATTCAATGTGATATTTTGCTTTCTCTTACTTTTTTGGGGGAATTCAAGTCTATTACTATCAACCAAGCCATTTTTTTTCAGTTGAAACAGCTGAACTCAGCCAAATTAACTTTTAATTAACAGGAGCAAAGTGAAATCAACATCATGAGAATGAAACAATTTCTCAGAAGTGCGCATTTACAGGCGAGCTGAACTAGAATTCAAATACCTAACATACTTATACTTAACATAGTTGGGATGTATTGCTTAAACTACATGTACATACCGGTACATGTCCCACATGCATGATACATTGTAATTAGTGTATGCGCATCCAACTGGACATCTAGGCCTTAACTTCAATGTATTGTTCAACCCTCCTGCTGTCTGATCAGTCACAGACAGTCAACAAATCAACCCTCTTTCTTACCATGCCTCTTATGAATCAAATTAGGTTTTGCCCTTCACCGACGTTTTTTATGCCTCTTATGGCTAGTCACCAAACAGTCAGATCATACATGTATTTCAAGCAAGCACTGTGACTAGTCAAATTAAGTCAACAGACACAAGCAGATAAGTAGTGGGCACATGTCTTATCTATCACCTACAGTCAAAGCATAGCTGTAGCACGACACATAAACTATCACAGCCAGTCAATCCTGCTTTATTTTGTCAGAGAGCACTCAATCGTTAAAAACAGTCACTAGACTGATTTTGACTGAAAGGAAAACTTGCACAGAATGTTTGTTTGCATAGGAGGGATAATGACTAGCCAATATTATAACGAGTAGATCGTTGATATCAGTATTATTCCATACCATTGATGGGGTCCATACCGTCCATTTTATAGAATTGATTGGATGCAGTTGTCATAATCGGTATAAATTTGCTGCAAGAGCCGTAGTATCGTATTGCGAATGCAAATCATAAGCAAAACTGCGATGTCATTTTTGGCAAAACATGTACTTTTTTTGTTCTTTCTGTGCGTCGATATTGACAGTTGCCCGAGTTATTTTGAGCTTTTATTCGAAGCATTTTTGTTGTCTTCTAATTACCAAACCCTTAGTTATCAGGAACTGCGCATTGTTTGTTGAGAAAAGGCAACAACTAAAAAGGGTGACTCATTATAATCCGAAACGGCCATTTACATGTATCAAAGAAAGAAAAAATTGTTGAACATATTGCCTTTTTGAAATATGCAATTTACTGGAAATATAAACTGTTTACAGTCGAAAAATGGTACGTTTCCCCGGTGTCGTATTGAATAGTGTTTTAAGAAATTCATCATTTCTCTCTTTTAAGTGATCATTGTGTTAAAATAAAGGTTTAAACCAAAGACCACATTGACAGCTATAAATATACATGTACATACTTGATAAAATTAAGACGAGAAATCTTCAACCGACCACAGTTGTGGACAAAATGACCGATTGATCAGAAAGTCACAATTTTACAGGCAACACATGTAATCCAATACTGTATAATAATGGGGTTTTTTCGTGTTGTATGAATGTGCTACACTTAAATTTATTGTGGCAATTAGAACCACTCGCTCATTTTTCTATCGACATTTCACCCATGCTTATATATTGACATGACTGATTACAATGTCGTATCACACCTGGCGATACGTCTTTACCGAGTAGCAGTCAGCCACTGCCAGCTGCCCATCAGATGGGAATGTGATACCCATTGGGTAGTGCAGACCCTGTGCGATGCACTGGAGGAAACCACCCTGAGGGTCATAGTGGTGGATATGACCCGTGTTGCTACCATTATGCATTGCAACATAGATACCTGAGGTATCAGTGCATACACCGGTGCAGTATTCCACTGGTTGACCATTGATAATGGGTTTGATGGTGCGTTTTGTAGTACCATTGCTACCGGCAATATCCACTGTTTTGGATGCATTGCGACTTATTATAGCTTGATCATTGCCGTCAAAAGCCAGAAAATAAGGTTTTATCTTGACTGGTATGGTATGAAGGAGCTCACCATCAGTGGGGCTGTGCACTGTCAATACCATCCTCGCCACATCTCCCACTGCAATGGTACCTTCATTCTTGACAGCTACGCTCCGGAGGTCAACTGCGGTCTTACCGACCTCACTCGGCGGCACCGTTGGGAACTCGTATGCCAGCGTGTTGTCACTGTTGAACACCTTCACATGGGATGCGCCATCCTCAACAACCACCAAACGATTGTCGCTGCGTGTAGCTGCGATGCCACGTGGATCTGTAGGGGGCACGATGTAAAAACAAACAATAGTGGTCAATTTCAATCTGAATTGCAATTTATAAAAATATCAAAAATGAATTGGAGTGACAATTAATGTGCCCCTGGCCAAAAAAAAAAAAATCACTGTGTCTTAAGGTATCCTCTACATATTGATGTTTAAGCCTTTCGATAATTGCCTTTTGTATCTTTCAGTGAGATAATAGGAGAAAAACTAAAAGACTTCTGACAACAATTGAGAACTTAACCGGTGAACCAGTGTATCAGGAAAACTTATATTTCTTTCATTTTAAATGGATTTTTCTTGAACTTTCATCCTTTGAAAAAATGTCATGAAAGGAGCAAACAAATTTCATAAAAAAAAACAAGAGCAAACTAATTAAAAATGCGTGGGGACAGGGCAAAGACCTAATATCAAACATGAGGTTCAATTCAAAGTAGAGTTTGTTCAATTTAAAAATAGCAAGGGAACTTGACATGGACGATGCATTTATATTTAGACATCTCTATGTCATGAAAACCAAGGTATTCACTTAAATAATTATGTTTCGCATCAAAGTAACTGTTATTCCGTTTCATTAGATCTCTTGAGGTTAATTAAAAACAGATAATGACGGGGAAAGAAATACATGTACATGTTCATAATTTTAGAGATTTCAATGCACGGTAATTTAAACTTACATCCTTGCATCGGGATCGTGCTTTTCTGGTTGCCTTTGATGCTGCAGATAACAACTCGTCTGTTGTTGATGTCAGTCACTGCAATCTCATCAGGTTGACGAGCAGCAATGTCCCAAGCCCCATCGAACTCTCCTGGACCTCTTCCCTCTCTACCAAACTCTCGACACAGCTCCCATTTGCCTTCCGCCACCACCTGACCCAGACTGATGCCACCAACACCCTGACTCTGCTTGAACTTCAGGAATGCAAGCCTGTTGTCAACTCTAGGCATACTCTGATCTGCCAATAATTTCAAGTCTTTGCTGATTGTTGGATAGAGTGAGAGAAAGTCACTATCTGATGCAGTTCTTGTTACCTCTCTAGCCGTGTCTAGTGAATGCTGACATCTCTCCGCTGCCAAGCCCATAGTTTTCTCACATTCGTCCAGTTTTTGTTCACGATCTGTTTGGATGTTTTTGATGTCGTCAAGGATGCGATTTTCTTGAGCCGTCACCTGTGCTCGTATCTCAGCTGCTCTGTCTTGCACTTCTGTCATGACCCTCTTAACTGCCACACCCAAATCTTCTTTCATTCTTGAGACTTTCTCTCGTAATTTCTGGAGTTCTGTCATTGTGTTTTCAAGTGGAGAGACCAGTTCAACCAACGATTGCTTGTACGTCGATGTGGCCAGATTTCTGTCAATGTACGAGTGTTCTGGCTTACAGTGGTCAATGACGGTACAATCTCGGCAAATCAGTGTTTCACACGTCTTGCAGAAGAACCTTGTCACTTCGCCCTCATGGATCGGACATTTCGGATGTTGTCTCTGATGTTTCTTTGTCACTGTAACCTTTCCCTCACGAATGTCCTTCAATGGAGCTACCTTGTGGTTTGATGTTGCTGCGAATCGAAGATGCATTCTGCTGCAGACTGAGCACATATACTGGCCACAATCTAGACATCGCTGCGTTGCCTCATTGTTTCCCTCACAAATTTCACAGCTAAGACTATCACCCGATCCCACAACCTTTTCCTGCAGTTCAAACGCCTCAACCAGGCCAATCAGATGAAAGTTTGTTTTCAGACTCTGCACCCCCGCCTCAGGAAGTTTCGTTTCCTGTCGACACACAGGACATGGGATCACTGTAGTGTCCTTGCGATTTGTGCTGCAGTATTTCAGTAGACATTGCTCACAAAAGCTATGTAGGCATTCCAGTATCTTGGGCTGTTTGTATCTCTCTTGGCAGATGGAGCACTCAAGATGATGTCTGCTGATTATCTCCAGAGCTGAACTTACCGCAGGTCCAGTCGCCATTTCTGCGAGGAACAAAAATATAATTGTAACACTATAAAGAAGCGGATCACTTCAGTTTTTATTTTATTTTTGAATTGTTGATCCGTGCCGTTTTTGTTATTAATCTCCAAATACTTTAATAATTGAAGCAATGCACCGGCTCTTACCCGAGTTTAGTGTACTATAACCAAAGCAGTCTTTCAATGAGTTTAGATTTGCCAGCATGGTGCGTCACTCACCCTAATTACAGGGTTCACCTGTTGCATCCGCTGTGTGTTACCTGGTCGTCTTGTGGCGTCAATAGAGTCTCTTGGTCGTACGTACTGCTCTGAATTGAACAACTTTCTTCCAGGCTTATAATACTGCACTACTGATGTGGATGATCCAAGGATAAATTGGCGGACAACAGTATAGTGTAGTGCACTATAAACGAGTCTATGTGTACGGCACTGAGTACGCAGTTGATATCTGGACTTTGTTCAAATTGCACTCAAGTGTATTTATCATCCCGTGTCAGGCTTATTTAACCCTTTCTGTTTGCGCAACCTAAAGTCAGCTATACAATCGCATAATGGTATCGTAATGCCTAGTGCATGTAGCGGTCTTACACATGCAGTGGTTAAACGCACGACTCCAAAGTACAAGCCTGCGTATAAATGAAACACCAGAGTTTAATTAAGCTAGCTGCAGCAGGGTGGCAGTATAGGTTTGTTAAAAATAACGCTCGGCCTTCGACTTTTTTTCCAACAAATGTTACGTTCTACACTCTATAAAGTTAACAAATCCCCGATATGTACATTCGCACGTCTAAAAGAAGATTGAGGTTGCTAAATTATTTGAAAATGACCTCATGTCTGGACGGATTCGAAAATGATTTGTATATATTTCGTGTTGAAAGTCAAAACTCAAAGCACTGTCCATGACATACCAAGAGATGTGATTTGTATTCAAGTGACCCTGGAGTATGCCAACATACTCTGGCGATCTGTTTTTGTTTATATTAACAAGGAATGTTTGAAATTTAACCAGTACTACCCGTTTCGTTTAATTAATGTATTTTGCATTTGTCAACATGGCTGAATGGATCACCTTTGGATACCCTCACTATACAGTTTTAGGGAGGGAGCCATAGCTTTCCAACTCTCGTATTTGCACAAAACTTGCAAAAGACGTCAAATTCAACTTGAACTAAACTTTGTCTCATAAAAGGTTCCACTGAAATTACCATTATTTTTGTTACCCAGTTAATTAGACGATCAACGGTACAGAGAATCAATTTGACTTTTGAGGATAGATCTTCGGCTATATTTCACGACAAACATCATACGGTTGTAACTGGGATTTGCTTATATATGTTTCGTTAATACACACTTTTATATCACTAGACACTCAATAATTGTGGCCCAGTATTAAAGAAAGGAGTCAATCCATCTCGAAGGAAAAAAATATCTCGTCTTGGGTCCCATATTCATAAGGTGATCCCAGGAAACACGGAGTCCTTGAATTTTCCATACAACGTTAACTCAATATCAAGTAGGCCTATTACGCTTTGTTTTTCAAACGATACATGTAATAACCTCATCTTTAACCCTAAAGGGGCCGGGGCGGATCCGCCCCCCCCCCCAACATTTTCGGCCATAGCCTCTAAAAAATTTTTTCGCGACTCGAGCTGTTATAACTTTTCAGCTTCGAGCTTTGCGCATTTTTTGATACCAAAAACATAAAAATCAGACCACGGGTTGACGTGTAGCGAAAAATTTTCCTTTTTTATTTTAAATTGGTTCCAATAAATTATTTTTGTGTCATTGGTTACAACATGCACTTATAACATGCACTTAAGCTAAACAAAAAAAAACCCTAATTAATATTACAAACAAAACGGTTTTTCAGTTATCTCAGGACTGTCAGGAAATTGCGTCAAATTCGCTTTGACAGTTAAAACTAATTTATATCCTGCTAATTTTGTTTAAAATTTAAAAACAGTAAATTTCGTTCCAGTTGGGAGCTCATCAACCATGTCATAAAATATTTAGGACGGTTAAAACATTCCTATTGGCCAAGAACCGATCACGTGGCTTAATGTTAACCCTTTGAAAAGAAATCAGGTTAGTATCTAAATATTTATAAACTTAATCTCATGTAATCTACATTGAACTTAAATCTACTTAAAACATATCGTTGATGTCAAGAAAATACATTGATACATAATTGGACTTTTGGTTAAAAGATAAAACAATGCTCGTAACTTCCGTTCATGATAACTCGAACTTTTTTTTCGCTGCAGTAGTTCGTCTTTTTAATTACCATGAGTTGTAATAATAAAACAAAACATTTTTCCAATAGATTGCTTTTAATCCAGTTTCTTCTTGATTGCAAACTTCTGAAGCAAACCCATTCAGTTGAAGCAGCTGAAATTAACTAATAAAACTCACCTTTGAAATGAGCGAAGTCAAATGACATTTACATTTCCCATAAATTGTGTTTTTACAGAAATTGAAATATGTCTTTGACAGACAATCAAATTCAGCTTTCAATTTGACTCCACTTTTTACGTATTTAGACAGTTAAAGACTTTCAGGAAATTGTGTCAAAATTGCTTAGACTCGTTTAAATAATTATAAAGGTATGTAAGTTACTTGAAAATTACCAACACTGTTTTTCTTTTTCATTGAAAGCTTATCCTTGTCATAAAATCCTTACAATACATATACATGTAGCTAACATATTCCTATTTGCCAAGAATATAACACGTGGGCCGAATTTCAACCTTGGAAAAGATCCGGCCATCTAACTTCAGTATTGATTATTTACAAACTGAATTACATGTGTGTCCTGGAAACATATTATCGCAAATGTCGAGAAAATATGTAAATATATTATTGAACTGTCGGTTATTACATCAAACAATTCTTGTGACTTCTTTACATGATCATCAGAGGGTTATATTGGTTTTAATACAATTAACAAATAATATTACTGTTGACAGGAGCTAGACCAGATGATTATTTGTACTAATCAATGTACTTTGTTTCAATGGAATTCCTCTTTCTTCTTGAATATAAACTTCTTAACACAATTCAACCCAATTATTGAGGCAACTGAATTAAACTTAAACAATTCAGTTTTGAAAAAGAGCCAAATCAAATAGAATGAACTTAGAATGATAACATTTTCTAAAACGGCTTATTTACAGGCGGGTTACATAATATTAAAATATGTCCTTAACAGAACGATCAAACGTAGCTTTAAATTTGACTCTACACGTGTCGAAATAGTTTTGCAAATTTGTTGCTGTAGTATGAACCTTTGTGTGTTTTAGGAGTTTCATTGTTTATTTTAGTCACTCAATGAGCGTCTTTTGTGTAAAAACATAATTTAGGATTCATGATATCACATTAGCACCCTCAGTTGTCTTAACCCGTATGTCGTTTGTTGAAATAAGTCTAATTTATCAGAGAATTTAATTTGAAGAAAATTGAAATAATGGTATATCACGTTTTCGCTTGAATAGCTATTTAAGTTATTCATCCTTGCAGTACTTGATCTCAGAACGATAAATGAATTACGAAGGCAGAGAACATCCCATCCATAAAAACTGTAACTTAACTAATTTTGACCGAAAGGAAAACTTTCCATATAATATATGTGTACATAATGAGGGGAAAAGACAAACCAAATTATAACGAGTTCAACGTTCGGAGAAACCCTTCAGCATTATTCCATACCATTTAAAGCGTCCATTTTTTTATAGAATTGCTGTGATGCAATTATCATAATTGGTATAATTTTGTATTAGCCTTTTTGTCTATGTGAAATGTCATAATCATGGGTGAACTGCGGGTAACATTTTTGGTAATAATTGTTTTGTTACCACTGCATCGATGCTCACAGTTGCCAGAATTATTTTAAGCTTTTGTTCAGTTTTCAGGAACTGCATATTGTTTTAGTTGAGAACCAGATTGCAATAAAAAATGTGAATCATAATCCCAAGTTGTATTTACAAATTGAACTGTCAAAAACAAGTGTCATTAAACATTGAAATCTTAACCGCTTTGAAATATCCAATTTACTGGAAATATAAACTGCTTTAAGTTGTAATAAGGGTACATGTATCCTCGGTGCCGTATTAAATATCTTTTAAGAAATTCTGTATTTTTCTCTTTTAATTGGTCAATGTATTATAATAAGGTTTAAACCAATCACCTACAGTTGAAAGCTCCAAATACATATGCATGCATTTGACAAATTGAGACGCCAAATGCTCAACCGACCTCAGTTATGAACAAAATGGATCGTTTGATCATTAAGTTGAAATTTAATCTAATGCCTTATTTGTACATTTTGTAAACATGTATCTCGTGTTGTATCAATATTCTACAACTTGCTGTTTATTGTTGAATCTATTGTTGAATCTATATTGTTTATTAATTTCTCTATGGACATGCAACCGCTGATTTGAAATTGACGACTGATAACATTGTCTTAAAACAATTGTGATTAGAACTGCTCTTTAATAATTTGTCCATAGACATGTCACCACCGATTAGAAATGGACATGACTGATTAGAATGTCGTATCACACCTGGTGATACATTTTGACTGAGAAGTGGTCAGCCACTGCCAGCTGCCCATCAGATGTAAATGTAATACCCCAGGGCGAGCGCAGACCCTGCGCAATGCACTGCAGGAAGCCACCTTGAGGGTCATAGTGATGGATATGACCCGTCATGGTATTGTCACCACTATGCATTGCAACATAGAAACCTGAGCTATCAGTGCATATACCGCAACAGTATGTTACTCTTTGACCATTGGTTGGTTTGATGGTACGTTTTGTAGTATCATTGCCAATGACAATGTCCACTGTCTGTGATAAATAGTCACTGATTATCGCACGGTCATTGTTGTCAAAAGCCAGAAAGTACGGTTTAATCTTGACTGGTATGGTACGTAAGAGCTTACCATCAGTGGGGCTGTGCACTGTCAATACCATCCTCGCCACATCTCCCACTGCAATGGTACCATCATTCTTGACAGCTACGCTCCGGAGGTCAACTGCGGTTTTACCAACCTCACTCGTTGGCACCGTTGGGAACTTGTATGCCAGCGTGTTGTCGCTTTTGAACACCTTCACATGGGGTGCGCCTTCCTGAACAACCATCAAACGATTGTCGCTGCGTGTAGCTGCGTTGCCGCGTGCATCTGTAGGAGTAGCAATGTAAGAACAAACGGAAGTAGTTAATTTCGATTTGGATTACAAAATTAAAAAACAAAACAAAAGGGCATTCTGTCAAAATGGCATATCGTGTCAAGGTTATGAGTATTCAAGGTTATGAGGCGTCGGACTTATGAGTATTGTACATGCTTGAGAAATTACCAGGTAGTTTGGATGTTTATGGTTGTCTTTATATCATTGCCCCATTACAAGGCACAAATGATTGTTCCTCATTAAAACTATCTTCCAGTTAAATGATAAAAAATATAAAACACATTCATGACAACTATACAGAACGTATTAATCGAATTTCAGGAATACCGACTTTTTATGCACATTTTCTTTCTTCAACCATTTTTATCAACTCTACCAATTCAAACGCCTTTTGCATGAGCTTTCCATCTTTTGCACAGAACTTGAAAAAACAAAGCGAACCAAATATAAAAACTATTAGAGCCAAAACTAAAACCACAGTCGAAACTCCCCACCAATATCAACAATCAATGAGTTTTAAAAGAAAAAAAAAGGGGGGGAAAAGATTCTTGACATGAACGATGCATTGATGTTCAAAACATATCCACATTATGAAAGCCAACGTCAATAACATTTTGCATCAAATATGCTGTGATTCCGTTTCTGATCTCGTAGGGAAAATTAAAAACAGTGACAGGCAACAAAAACTGTACGTGTGCACAATTCGGGAGATCGCAATACTATGCACGATAATTTAAACTTACATCCTTCCATTGGGATCGTGCTTTTCTGCTTCCCATCGATGCTGCAGATCACAACTCGTTTGTTGGTGCAGTCAGTCACTGCAACCTCATCAGGTTGACGAGCAGCAACATCCCAAGCCATATTGAATTCTCCTGGACCGCTTCCATTTCTACCAAACTCCCGACACAGCTCCCATTTGTCTTCCACCACCACCTCACCCAGACTGATACCACCAACACCCTCACTCTGCTTGAACTTCAGGAATGCGAGCCTGTTGTCCACTTTAGGCATACTATGATCTGCCAGCAATTTTAAGTCTTTGCTGACTGTGGAATAGAGTGAGAGAAAGTCACTATCTGATGCAGTCCTTGTCACCTCTTTAGCCGTATCGAGTGAATACTGAAATCTCTCCGCTGTCAAGCCCATAGTTTTCTCATACTCTTCCAGTTTTTGTTCACGATCTGTTTGGATGTTTTTGATGTCATCAAGGATGCGATTTTCTTGAGCCGTTACCTCTGCTCGCATCTCAGCTGCTCTGTCCTGCACTTCTGTCATGACCCTCTTAACTGTGACACCCAAATCTTCTTTCGTTCTTGAGACTTTCTCTCGAGATTTCTGGAGTTCTGTTATAGTGTTTTCAAGAGGAGGAAACAGTTGAACCAAAGATTGCTTGTATGTCGATGTTGCCTCGTCCCTCTCAATGTAGGAGTGTTCTGGTTTGCAATGGTTTACGACAGTACAATCTCGGCAGATCAGCATGTCACAAGTGGTACAAAAGAACCGTGCCACTTCGCCCTCATGAATAAGACATTTCGGATGTTGTTTCTGGTGTATCTTTGTCATTGTAACCTTTCCCTCAAGAATTTCCTCCAACGGAACTACATTGTGGTTGGATGAGGAAGGGAATCGAAGATGTATTCTGCTGCAGACTAAGCACGAATTGTGGCCACAATCCAGACATCGCTGCGTTGCCTCATTGCCCCCCTCACATACATCACACAAAAGACAGGTATCACCCGATCCCACTATCTTTTCCTGAAGTTCAAGCTCCTCAACCAGACCAATCAAATGAAAGTTTGTTTTCAGACCTTCCACCCCCACCTCGGGAAGTTTTGTCTCCTGTCGACACACAGGGCAAGGAATCGCTGCAGCGCCCTGATGCTTCTTGCTGCAGTATTTCAGCAGACATTGCTCACAAAAGCTATGCAGGCATTCCAGTATCTTAGGCTGTTGGTATCTCTCTTGGCAGATGCTGCACTCAAAATGATGTCTGCCGATCGTCTCTAAAGCTGAACTTACTGCAGGTCCAGTCGCCATTTTTGTCTAATAAATGTGAAGAAAAATATTTTATTTAAAACATAACACTGATAAAAATATATCACTCGTATGTTTCCCTTTATGGGTAGGGACCACTAGTAATTGACAGAATGTGTTTTTGCATTTGAAATGAATCGACGTGTGCAGGGGTCTCAAGATGTTAATTAAAAGGAAACAAGTGCAAAATCATATCCTTATCCATAAACTGCAACTCCCCTTCAAAACATCACATATTTTATTTTATCTGTGATGCTCCCTTGGATTTCTGGTATTGTTGGTTAATCCGGGAAGGCAGAAATCTGACAGTGACTTTATCATCTAATATTGCACTTGAGCGTTATTTTAAAATTTCTAAATGCAAAACATCAATATACATGTACAAAGTTATGTTGTAAGATGCTCCATAGTGGCCCATGAATATGTTTTTCTCCTGGACTTCCTTCGTATTTAGAGCCACACAGCACTAGGCGTGCATGCTAAGATTTCCTGAAAAGGAAATTCACTCTCGAAGGACTTTGTAATTATCATGGACAGATGGACATTCTTCCCATTATATTTTCTGAGATAACACGAAAAGTCGTGGTATTTCCATCTACATTTACATTATGCACCTATCAAATGTTTCCCCACCCCGCGCTGCCCCAGGTCCAATGTCGGGATTTGGTCACGTTTTTCATGCCCCAGGGTGGGGATTTGGTCACTCAAATTACATTGTTAACATTGGCGCACTCATGGAAAGGCAATCACTAGTGCGCCCCACGTATGTAAGTCTGGGCATGGTCGGGGATTGTCACTTAAATTTTGCCCGAGGGGTGAGGATTTTGTCACTTCAAAAGTGACAATCCCCACGTCTTGGGTGGGGCACCCCGGGAGGGGCCAGGGGAGGGGTTGGGGAAACAATTGATAGGCGCATTATGATTTTCCAGCTCTGTCATTTGTTTTTAAAACAGGTAAAAATAATAAGAAAAAGTGTCCTATACTTGTACGTCAAACCGATAGTCCTTTGCATCGAGCAATGCCATTACTCAATATATATATTAACAGCCATTAAACGAGTACACGCAGTACGTATTACATGTACATGTACATGTACATTTGTGGTGGTTGTACATGTACATGTAGGTCTATGTATTCCCAAACGTACAGACACGTACATGTACGCAAAATAATTAACACGTTTATCCGACGTTCCCGGTTTGGATGGTAATATAATGTTTCTGTTGAGTCGAAAGAAGCGAATCTTTCGGTTGGTTAAATTTCAGGCTCGAAGCAATCAACGCGGAAGTAGAACTATAAGTCGAAGTGAAATGTAATTTGAAGAGCGCCTCCAAGGGACAGCACGGCAATTTTTCCTATGTATGGTACAGTAGATAGATTGTGTTCGTGACCATCTGTTCGAAACTTTTACTTACTCTGAATCTGGACCAAAAAAATGCATCTAAAATTAATAAAAAACAAAATAAACCAATACCGAGGGCTTCATCAAGCGTCATCGCCAGTGCATTCGAATGTATTTTTAAGCAGTCTGCCCAACTCTCTCTCTTTGTAACCGTTGAGGGGGTAATTTACACGGGTTCACACACTGTTTCCTTGTTTTCCAAAACAAGGGAGTGGCCTTTTTGTTTGGCAGTGCACTCCTACTTTCCCATCTCATTAAAAAAAAAGCTGCATTAGATAGGTATATATGTTTAATTTCCATTTTACATTTTTTTTTTTGTATTTACAACAACAAAAAATCTCCATGCATTCATTGTTTTTGAAGGGGGGGCGGGGCGTTGGAATGGATGGGTTGGGGAGGTTTCAAAAGTACCTACGGCCTTTAAAAAACAAGGACTTTCTATTGAGGACGTCTAAATGAGCCCGATTCCCGATCTGAGGGCGGTATATGATCCGGAGAAGTTTCCATTTTCCCCCATTTTTCTTAAAACTTACCCGCGGTCATTGCCTGAACAATAATTATATCTGAGCCCCTTTTACTTTTTTTCTTCATTTTCTATAAGTTCTAAACTTCATTTATTGCCGCATCTTCCCCAACATATGTCGGGAAACATGCATTTCTCATATGAATCAATGATGTTTTAAAGGGTTTTTTTCTCAGTCATTCTCTATGAAAGTCCATTTGCGATGAATCACCCCCCCCCCCCAAAAAAGAAAAGTGATATCCCCATGAAACCATGCAGTTGCCTTTGACTTTTATTTAATTCACTGTTTGCAGAGCTCCGATGAGACTGACCATCTGGCAAGTGGCTGCATGATGACCTCTCTTGGATTAAAGCTCATAGAAAATTGGACTTGTCAGTTCTTATTATTGTGCAGACTTTGGATATCTCATCATCATTCCGATTCAACTTGTTTGCAACTTGTTTGTTTTATGTTGCCACATCTACAGGGCCGAGAACGTGGACAGAGATTCGGAGGTGATTCACACTCACAATTGCGAATGTACAATTGAAACCCGGCCAGTGATTTTAATAACTTTCTTTTCTTTTCGAAATAGACGACCCTCCACATTTGCTGCTTTTGAGGAGAAACCTAAGCATGTTCACTTGTTTCGTAGTAATTGTTAGTGTATCACACAAATCTTGTCTGAAGTCCAAATTGCTTCATTTATTCAAAACTGAAAGACTGTTTGGCAAGTTTGAGATTTTGCCGTTGCATATTGCTTTTGTTTTGTTTTGGTTTGCCACAAGCAACTTTTTGACTCATGTTTTTCCATGTACTATTATGATCAGTTAGGCTCATGATTAATATAACACTACACGTATTGTTCAGGGATCGACATGACATCGAATACAGAATTAAAATGTAAAATCAAACTTTTAACCTGATTCCAGAAATTTTAATGTATCTAGTCATTTTCTGACCACTCATCTAGTGTTTGTACTCTCCACGCAGTCCATGGCTCCTCCTTCTATAGCAAATACAATTAGGGCGCGGTGCTGTCATAACTGTTTCGTATTGTTTAATCTGCAATTACCTGAATTCTTTGCAATTTCAAACTGTGTTCCCAAAGAGTGTATTTCCTGCTAATCGGTTAAACACAGAAAATGCAGAAATTCAAAAATGACCTGTCAAAATTCAAACGAGGTGAAGCGCCAGAGACACACAGCATTATTCCACACCATTCAAATGGACCGTTTTCATTAGAATATGATTTTTTTTTTAAAAAGTACCTTAACAAATTCATTTAAATTTCCCTCACGTTTCAACACGTTTTTGTTTTGGAAATGGACTCGATTCGAGTTGAACATAGTCCGAATCAGTCACTAGCCAAGTCTAACTCAAACCGAGTCCAAAAGGCAATTAACGAGTCTGATGCCAGTCACGAGTCAAACAAAAAATAAACAAATAAACTGACTCGAATCCTCCAAAATATACCCGCCTTAATCACCTGAGGGGGTAAGGGCGGATCCAGGGGGGGGGGGGGTGGGGGGGGCAAAGGGGACCATATGGCCCCCCCCCCCAAACGAAACCAATTTTTTTTTTTATGTGACATCGTAATAAAGGCAGGCAATGAGTACACCACCATCTTTTCCTCAAAAAAAAACATTGGTTAAAGTGGTCAGAAATTGCCTCAGATCGCACCACAGAGCATCTAGAATCCAAAAAAATTTCGGGGCCCTTAAGCGGGCCCCGAACCCCACGCCGTAATTTTTTCGACCCACTTTTTGGGGGGACCAAATTTTTTTTGGGCCCACCAAAAATTTTTTGGGCCCCCCCAAAAAATTGTGTTCTGGATCCGCCCTTGTGTGACAACAGTGGAACATACAGGTCCAACTCGTTACCCGTTACTACTCGGTCCAACATGTAGGTCCCGTCCGTTACGCAGCCCCGTCGCCAGCTCCGAACATTAAGGGGGCCATAATAGTATACACATATAGACTGGCAATGAGGTCACTAGTGCTCGTCTATGCGCCCCGTGGGACTGTGAGTGACCAGAAGAGGGTCACATTTCCGGAGGCCACAAAAAGGACCTTCTTCTGGTTACTCACAGGCCCGAGGGGGGCAGAGACCAAGGGCAGATGCAGGGGTGGGGGAGCCAAAGGGGGCCATGCCCCCCCCCCCCCCCAAAAAAAAAAACGAAACCAATTTTTTTTTTTTCATAACATCGCAATAAAGGCAGGCAATGCGTACACCACCATCTTTTCCTCAAAAAACATTGGTTAAAGTGGTCACAAATTGCCTCAGATCGCACCACAGAGCATCTAGAATCCAAATTTTTTTCGGGGCCCTTAAGTGGGCCCCGAACCCCACGCCATAATTTTTTTGACCCACTTTTTGGGGGGACCAAAATTTGTTTTGGCCCCCCAAAAATTGTGTTCTGGATCCGCCCTTGTGAGGGGGGTGGGTGATAATTCAAATTACGTTTGCTGAATAATTACTCCTAAACTTTTTATGGGGCAACTTTTCCTCCCATTCCCCATTTTAAATTGGATAAATTTGTATTGCCAAAAATACACAAAATAAATCCAATTAGATAAAAAAAACACTTCTTTGCCATTTAAAAACTCCCCCATCATATTCAAATACGTGTCAATAACAGGACTATTTAATTAGGAATCGAAATACTAAGTGTCATTAAAAAATGTCCAAACAATTAGAGTGTTGTCTGCTAAATGAGTAACGCCTACCTCCTGTAAGTCATTAAAAAAGTTGAACAAAACATACAGTTAGCACATCATTGATTAATTTGAAGAAATCCCCGCTTTATTGAAAATACACAAGTTTTTTAGCCAAAATATACAGACAAACAAGTATACTGTAGTGTAGTGCATTGTAGACGGGTGTACGGTACTCGAGTGCGCGGTCGATCTTTTGGACTTCGTTCAATTGGCACTCAATGGTATTTATTATTAGTATCGTCCCGTGTCAGGCTTGTTTGACTCCTTCTGTTTGCACAAAGTCAATTGCATTCGCGTACTGGTATCGTGAAGCCCTGTGTATCGGCCTCACACATACACAAATGCAAAGTACAAGCCTGCATACAAAACATGCACCACAGTTTAATAAGCTATAACTGTAGCATTTAATTGTTGTAAAACACTGTTTTTCTTTCCAATTGGAAACTTTGTCATGAAATACCTAGCTAGGACAGTAAAAACATTCCTATTGGCCAAGAACCGATCACGTTGCTTGAATGTACTCCTTTGATAGAAATCAGGTTAGCATCTTACGTATATTTCAGTATTCACTTTTAACAAACTTAATCTCATGAAATCCATACGAACTAAATTCTACTTAAAACATATCGTTGATGTCGAGAAAATATTAATGTATAATTGTATATTTGGTTAAAAGATATATACAACAATTCTCGTAACTTCTGTTCATGATAACTCGAGTGTTACATGTATGTTAGCGACAATGCAAATATGAAAACAAGAGCTAAAACTTCCCTAAGCCGTTTTTTGTCACTGTAGGATTTCGTCTATATGATTATCATGAGTCGTGATTATCACATGATTTGTCTTCATGTAATGTTTTTGATCAAGTTTCTTAAAATATACCAACCCATTCATTGAAGCAGCTGAAATCAACTAATAAAACTAAGATTTGAAATGAGCTAAGTCAAATCAACAGAGAATGAACCCATTTCGAGAAATTGTGTATTTACAGGCAGGTTAACCGCAATTTAAAAAATGTCTTTGACAGAACAATCAAATTTAATTTTCAATTTGACTCTACTTGACATATTTCAACAGTTTATAAATTATCTCGAGATTTTTTGGGAAACTGTGTCAATTTGTTTTTGGACAGTTGAAAGAAATGTATGCATGTATCTTGATCACTGAGTTAAAAATGTACCAACACTGTTTTTTTCTTTTCAATTGAAAGCTAATCCTTGTCATAAAGTCCTTAGGAAAGCTTATACATTCCTTTTGGTCAATAACCTATCACGTGGGTTTTATATGAAACCCTGTAACAAATCGGGCCATCTCACTTTCGGTATTCAATATTTACAAACCGAGTCTCATGTAACCTAAAATGTTCTCGCAACATATTATCGTAGATGTCGAGAAAATTCTAAATATATAATTGAACTGTCAGTTACATGTATTACATCAAACATTTCTCGTGACTTCTTATTAATCTGAAGGTTATGCTGGTCTTAATTAAAGAAACAAAACAATATTTTGTTTCATAGGAGCCAGCTCACATGATTAACATCATGAGTTGTAATAATCACTGTATTTGTTTCCATGAAATGCTTTTTTTCATTCCACTTTCTTCTCGAATTTCAATTTCTCTGCATAACTCAACCCATTGAGGCAACTGAAACCAACTAATAAAACCTTGTTTTGAAATAAGCGAAGTCAAAATCAGCATAGGATGATCATATTACTTAAACTGCGTATTTACACTCGGGCTGAATATAAATTAAAATTATGTTTTGTAACAGAACGATCAAGCTTAGCTAAGAGACGCAATTTCTTGGCAAAGGCTTCGATCTGCTGTTGTAAGATGAAAGTTTGTCAGAACTATTGCTAGCTTTCGGGCCGAATTCATTTTTGTTGATGTCTTTCTGGAGTTTCATTGTTTAAATAGTCTCTCACAGTTGGTCAATAAGCGTCTATTGTGCACATAATTTTGCCAATGGGCTACGATTTGTATTCATATCACATTGACACCCTCAGTTGTCAGAACCAGTATGTTGTTTGTTGAAAAACGAAATACATCTAACGTATGAGAGAAATTGATATTGAAACAAAACTGTAATCGTGTTTTCTCAAGTTTTCTTTCGAATAGCGTTTTAATTTGTTTATCCTTACAGTACTTGAGCTGAGGATGAATGTTAATATACATGAATGAAAAACCGTATTTGCTTTTAGAGTTTTTCTTCTTCAATTTGATTCCTAAAGCTTTTTCAAAATTATCACCAGATTGATTCAATGTAAACTTTTTTATCTTATCCTTTTTTCTTTTGAATGAACTGAAAAGGATGACTCATTATAATTATACTTGATGAAATTAAGACAACCGCCCACTTTTGTGGACAAAATCGACCGATTGATCAGAAAGTCAAAATAATACAGGTAACACATGTAATCCAATACCGTACACGTTTTTTGTATACTATGTGATGTATCAATAATCTAAAACTTTTAATTCATTGTTGTGATAGGACCGCTCTTTACTTTTTCTATCAACATGTCTCAAATGATGAGAAATTGACATGACTGATTAGAATGTTGTATCACACCTGGTGATACACTTTGACTGAGGACCAGTCAGCCACTGCCAGCTGCCCACCAGATGTGAATGTGATACCCCACGGGTTGTGCAGACCCTGTGCGATGCACTTGAGAAAGCCACCCTGAGGGTCATAGTGGTGGATATGACCGGTGTTGGCAACATTTTGCATTGCAACATAGATACCTGAGCTATCAGTGCATACACCGAAGCAGTTACGTACTGGTTGACCATTGATGGTGGGTTTGATGGTACGTTTTGTAGTACCATTGCCAACAGCAATATCCACTGTCTGTGATGTATAGTCACTTATTATCGCTCGATCGTTGATGTCAAAAGCCAGGAAATAAGGTTTAATTTTGACTGGTATGGTATGAAGGAGCTCACCATCAGTGGGGCTGTGCACTGTCAATACCATCCTCGCCACATCTCCCACTGCAATGGTACCATCATTCTTGACAGCTACGCTCCAGAGGTCAACCGTGGTCTTACCAACCTCACTCGGTGGCACCGTTGGGAACTTGTATGCCAGCGTGTTGTCGCTGTTGAACACCTTCACATGGGGTGCGCTTTGCTCAACAACCACCAAGCGATTGTCGCTGCGTGTAGCTGCGATGCCGCATGGACCTGTAGGGGGCATGATGTAAAAACAAACAATAGTGGTCAATTTCAATCTTAAATTGCAATTTATAAAAAAAATCCAAAATAAATCGGAGTGATAATTAATGTTTCCCTTGCCAAAACTATGCATTGTCAAATATACATTTGTACGTGTACATCTTAGGGATATCACTGTGTCTTAAGGTATCCTGTACATATTGATGTTTAAGCCATTCAATAATTGCCTTATTTATCTTTCAGTGGGATAATAGGAAAAAACAAACTAAAAGACTCCTGACAACAATTGAGAACTTAACCAGTGAACCAGTGTATCAGGAAAACTTATATTTCTTTCATTTTAAATGGATTTTCCTTGAACTTTCATCCTTTGAAAAAAATGTCACGAAACGAACAAACAAAATTCATGAAAAAACAAGAGCAAACTAATTAAAAATGCGTGGGGACAGGGCAAAAAAACCAATATCAAACATGAGGTTTGATTTACAGTAGTGTTAGTTCAATTTCTGAAAAAAAATAGCAAGGAAATTTAATGTTTGACATGGACGATGTATTTACATGTATATTTAAAAATCTCCATGTTAAGAAAACCAATGTATTCACTAACACATGTTTCGCATGAAATTTACTGTGATTTAGTTCGATCAGATTTCTTGAGGTAAATTACAAACAGATAATGACGGGGAAAGAAATACATGTACGTGTGTATAATTTGAGAGATTGCAATGCACGGTTATAAAAACTTACGTCCTTGCATCGGGATCGTGCTTTTATGGTTGCCATCGATGCTGCAGATCACAACTTGTTTGATATAGTAGTCAGTCACTGCAATCTCATCAGGTTGACGAGCAGCAATGCCCCAAGCCCCATCGAACTTTCCTGGACCGCTTCCCATTTTACCAAACTCCCGACACAGCTCCCATTTGCCTTCCACCACCACCTCACCCAGACTGATGCCACCAACACCCTCACTCTGCTTGAACTTCAGAAATGCAAGCCTGTTGTCAACTCCAGGCATACTCTGATCTGCCAACAATTTCAAATCTTTACTGATTGTGGCATAGAGTGAGAGAAAGTCACAATCCGATGCAGTCTTTGCCACCTCTCTTGCTGTGTCTAGTGAATACTGACATCTCTTCGCTGTCAAGCCCATAGTTTTCTCATACTCTTCCAGTTTTTGTTCACGATCTGTTTGGATGTTTTGGATGTCGTCAAGGATGCGATTTTCTTGCGCCGTTACCTCTGCTCGTATCTCAGCTGCTCTGTCTTGCACTTCTGTCATGACCCTCTTAACTGTGACACCCAAATCTTCTTTTATCTTTGAAACGTTCTCTCGTGACTTCTGGAGTTCCGTCATTGAGTTTTCAAGTGGAGAAAACAGTTCAGCCAATGATTGCTTGTACTTGGATGTGGCCTCATCACTCTCAACGTACAAATGTTCTGGTTTGCAGTGGTTTATGACCGTGCAATCCCGGCAGATCAACACTTGACACGTTGTGCAAAAGAATCGTGTCACTTCGCCTTTATGTTTCGGACATTTTGAATATTGCTTTTGGTTTTCTTGCATTACTTTTATCGTTCCTTGACGAATGTCCTCCAAAGTAGGGATTATGTGGCTTGATGTAGTTGCAAATCTTTTGTGTGAACTTTGACAACGTGAGCAGATATTCTGTGCACAGTCCAAACATCGATGTGTTGCTTCATTGCCATCATCACATGTCTCACATAGCAGCTTTGTGCCACCCGAACACACCAACTTTTCCTGCAGTTCCAATTCCTCTACCAGACCAATCAGATGAAAGTTTGTTTTCAGACCCTGCACCCCAGACTCTGGAAGCTTCGTCTCCTGTCGACACACAGGGCAAGGAATTTCTGCAGCGCCCTGATGCTTCTTGCTGCAGTATTTCAGCAGACATTGCTCACAAAAGTTATGGAGGCATTCCAGTATCTTTGGCTGTTGATATCTCTCTTGACAGATGCAGCACTCAAGATGACGTCTGCTGATCGACTCTAGTGCTGAACTTACTGCAGGACCAGTCGCCATTTCTGTCTAATAAATGTGAAGAAAAATAGTTTATTTAAAACATAAGAGTGATACAAATGCATCATTTGCATGTTTCCCTATATGGCGAGGGCCCAATATTAATTGGCAGGATGTCTTTTTGCATTTAAAATAAATCAACGTTTGCAGGGCTCTTAAGATGTGAATTAAAAAGAAACAAGTGCAAAATCAAACCCTTATCCTTAAACTGCACCGCCTCTTCAAACCATCACATAATTTATTTTATCTGTGATGCTTCCTTGGATTTGTGATATTGTTGGTTAATCCGGGATTGCAAAACATCAACAAATGTGCAAATAAAGATTTATCATGGACAGATATGGATACTCCCATCTTTGGCATTATATTTTCTGAGATAACATGACATGGTTTCCTCTTTATCGTTTTATTTTCATCTCCATTCACATGATTAACAACTGTCATTCCTTTTTAAAACATGTTAAAATAATAACAAAAAGTGTGCTGTATACTTGTACGTCAAATCTATAGTCCTTTGCAACAAGCAATATGCTTGTACATGTATTAGCAATACTCGATAAACAGCCACACATGTACATGTACATGTAACAAGTAATAATAATAATAATAATAATTTGGGAGGCTAATCATCCTTACTCGCAGCTGAATTGCGAAGGACGCGGCTACAACATGGTCGGGCCGCTGGCACATAAAGGCGCCTATGGCTGCCGGCCACATCGACCCATACATGTATATGACCAAGGACCGAGCACAGCCTGAGATCGAAAGTGTGTGATTTTTTCAGAGGGAGGAAAACCGGAAGGCCCGGAGAAAAAGGAGAGGACCAACGCACAACTCTACTCACATGCGATCCGCGGCCAGGATTCAAACCGTGGTCACCTTGGTGAGAGGCGAGCGCTTTACGCACAAGCCACCCATGCCACCCAAGTGTCATGGAGTACACGTACATGTGTACATGTAGCTCTACTGAGTGGAGCGTTGAACTACGGTACCCTACATACAAAAGCTCCACCGATTTGCCATACTTTGGCGACAGGTACACGGTCGACTAGCCCCATAAATGTGGCCTATTTACTGGACTGCCTCCGTAAACATAGACCACACAAACATGTACAAAAATCGTGTCGACTTTGCCAAATTTTGATTTTCACATTTAGGCTTAGTTTGTAGGATTTTTTTGCTTTAGAAGCATACTCACGCTCTTTATAGGCTAGTCAGAAAGTGCTGCCTTTTTCAGATGTCTAATTTTTGTGAAATTTCATGTTGAAATTTTGATACGCAAACGTGTAAAAATGAATCTGGAAATTTCACGAAAAATAAAAAGGCAGCACTTTCTGATTAGCCTATAAAGAGGGTGAGTGTGCTTCTAAAGCAAAAAAACCCTACAAACTAAGCCTAAATGTGAAAATCAAAATTTGGCAAAGTCGACACGATTTCTGTACATGTGGATGTGTGGCCTATGTTTACGGAGGCAGTCCACATTTATAGGCCACATTTATGGGGCTAACGGTCGACATGACGGTATGCATTTTGTGCATGCCCTCGGGAGGACAAAAGGCCCCCAAAAAAAACTGATAAAGAGAATACAAATGAGAAAGACAGTAACCCTGGATAGATCCACACATTCATGACATTCCATAAGACCCCTAAATTGTTCCAACCAACCAGTGATTTTGAAAAAAGAAAAAAATAGTCTGAACTTACCGCTCACAATCATTGTAAATGTGTCTGCCGAGTTGTACAGTCCATCACTGACATAACTTATGCATAATTCATCGCGCGCGTGTGTGACTTCAACATTGAAAAAAACAAGTTGCGCTTACTCAACGACTGTTTTATGTAGTCATATGTGCCCCGCGCCGTCTGACATGACAGTGTGGGCTTTTGGCGCGGGACACATGTGACTACATGAAACAGTCGTTGATTAAGCGCAACTTGTTTTTCTTCGATCGAGCAACGACAGTGACGTCACGTCAGACGCCCTCATTCGGCAAGTCGGAGCAAGGTCTGAGATCACGGCAAACACATTGAGCTGTAAGTTTTCTGACTATTTTGCTAGTTTTTTTCCAAAATGTCCGCTGTTTGGGAACGATATTTAAGGGGTCTTATGGAATGTCATGAATGTGTGGATCTATCCAGGGTTACTGTCTTTCTCATTTGTATTCTCTTTACCGGTTTTTTGGGGGGTCTTTTTGTCCTCGCGTGGGTATGTACACTATTAGACCCATGAACGTGGCTTGTACACTATCAATCATGCTACATTGTACCTCGTCGCCGTCACCAAAGTATGCCATATCGACGGAGCGTTTGTATGGAGGGAACCGTAGTTCAATGCTCCACTCAGTACTCCTAGAACTATGAGGCTCCACTACTTGGAGCCTCATACTTAGTTCTAGGAGTATTCACTCAGTAGAGCTAATGTACACGTAGCCTACATACCAATCATGCCAATTTGTACATTTTGTCACACACGTACAAAATGCCTCATCAGAATTTCACAACAAAATGCTTCTCCAGGATTTAAGGAAGACAAAGATTATTGTGCTCACTTTTATCCGACGTTCCCTGTTTGGATGGTAAAATGATGTTTCCGTTGAGTCGAAAGAAGCGAGTCTTTAGGTTGATAAATTTCAGGCTCCATTAGCACTCATTAGCACACGGAAGTAAAAATCGACGTGAAATGTAATATGAAGAGCGCCTCCAAGGGACAGCACGCCAATTTTTTTTCCTGCGCATCTGGTTGTGTGAGTGACTTCCTGCATGGTACAGTTACTACAGTAGATAGATTGAGTTCGTGACCATCTGTTCGAAAATTTTACTCTGAATATGGACCCAAAAAAAATGAATCTAAAATTAATTCAGAAAAATAATATCGAGGGCGTCATCAAGCGCCATCAGCAGTGCATTCGAATGTCTTTTCCAAGCTGTCTGCCCAACTCTCCCTTTGTATTAGGGGGTAATTGGTTCACATATTGCGCAAGTTTCCTTGTTTATTAAATCAAAAGGGATGGCCTTTTTGCAATGCACTCCTCATTACCCATCTCATTAAAAAAAACTGAATTATATATGTATATGTATATTTTAATTTCCATTTTATTTAATTTTTTTTTTAAATAAATTTAAAAATGCATTCATTGTTTTTGAAAGGGTGGAGGGGCGTTGGGATGGATGGGGTTGGGAGGCTTTGAAAGTACCTACGGCCTTTAAAAAACAAACACCTCCTATTGAAGAAGTTTCCATTTTGTTTTTCATTTTTTTTTTAACTTATACCCGCCCGCGCTCATAAACGGGATATCTGAGCCCCTTTTACCTTTTTCCCCTCATTTTTATAACTTCTAAACTGCATGAATTGCCGCATCTTTCCCAATATATTTGTGTCGGAAAACATGCATTTCTCATATGAATCACGGATGTTTTAAAGTTTGATTCTCCGAGTCATTCTCTATGAAAAGTCTATTAGCGATGAATCACAAAAAAAAAAAGGAAAAGTGATATCCTATGAAACCAGTTGGTGTCATTATGGAGCCTTTGACTTTTATTCAATTAAATTTTTGCAGAGCTCTGATGAACCATCTGGCAAGTGGGTGTATGATGACCTCTCTTGGATTAAAGCTCATAGAAAATTGGACTTGTCAGTTCTTATTATTGTGCAGACTTTGGATATCTCATCATCATTCAGATTCAATTTGTTTGCAACTTGTTTGTTTTTTGTTGCTACATCTATAGGGCAGAACGTGGACGGAGATTCGGAGGTGATTCACACTCACAATTGCAAATGTACAATTGAAACCCGGCCAGTGCTTTTAATAACTTTCTTTTCGAAACTGAAAGAAGACCCTCCACATTTGCTGCTTTTGAGGAGAAACCTATGTTCACTTGTTTCGTAGTTACGTATCACACCACTCTTGTCTGACGTCCAAATTACTTCATTTATTCAAAACTGAAAGACTGTTTGGCAAGTTTGAGATTTTGCCGTTGCATATTAGTTTGTTTTGTTTTGGTTTTGCCAGAAGCAACTTATTGACTCATGTTTTTCCATGTACTATATCGGGCTCATAATTAATATAACACTACATGTATTGTTCAGGGATCGACATGACATCGAATACAGAATTGAAATGTAAAATCAAACTTTTAACCTGATTCCAGAAATTTTAATGTATCTTTTATCATTTTTTGACCGCCCATCTAGTGTTTTTACTTTCCACGCAGTCCATGGCTCCTCCTTCTACAGCACATACAATTAGGGCGCGGTGCTGTCATAACGGTTTCGTATTGTTTAATCTGCAATTACCTGAATTCTTTGTAATTTCAAACTGTGTTCCCAAAGAGTGTATTTCCTGCTAATCAGTTAAACACAGACAATGCAGAAATACAAAAATAACCTGTCAAAATACAAACGAGGTGATCGCTCAGAGACACACAGCATTATTCCACACCATTCAAAGGGACCGTTTTCATTAGAATATGATAAAAAAAATCATTAAAAAAATCATTTAACTTTTTCCTCACGTTTCAACACGTTTTTGTTTTGGAAATGGACTCGATTCGAGTTGAACATAGTCCGAATCAGTCACTAGCCGAGTCTGAGCCAAACCGAGGCCAAAAGGTAACGAGTCTGATGCCAGTCACGAGTCAAACAAAAAATAAAAAAAATCAACTGACTCGAGTCCTCCAAAATATACCCGCCTGAATCACCTGAGGGGGGGGGGGGGTTGATAATTCAAATTACGTTTGCTGAATAATTACTCTTAAACCTATTATGGGACAACTTTTCCTCCAATTCCCCATTTTAAATTGAATAGATTTGTATTGCCAAAAATACACCAAATAAATTCAATTAGATAAAAAAACACGCTTCTTTGCCATTTCAAAACTCCCCCATCAAATTCAAATACAGTTTCAATAACAGGACTATTTAATTAGGAAATGAAATGTTAAATGTCATTAAAAAATGTCCAAACAGTTAGAGTGTTGTCTGCTAAATGCGTAACGCCTACCTC